CCGACCAGTCGCCAAAAACAGCACTTATTACACGACACGGGCAGTCAGAGGGACAATAATTAAAATCAACCAATCAAAATGCTCTATTGCCGGTCAATATTCTCTCAGTATTGGACCGGGCACTGTCCCGAATGGTCCCGAATCATGATACCGCACTTGTGTCCCTTTGAACTTCAGTCGTATAATAAATCTCTTATTAACCAAGCTTGCTCGGGACCGCACTGGAAGAATATCGGCGCTCGGTCCGTACTGTCAAGACCTCGGGCCGATATTCTCCCAGTACGGCCCTCGCGCTTGGTTAATAAGATATATAANGATACTAGCGTAAGAATCCAAATACGAAGACTGCTAACTTTGGGCGAGATACTAACGTAAAATCTAAATAAGAAGACTGCTAAATTTGCACGAGATACTAACGTAACAATCCAAGTAAGAAAACTGCTAAATTGGCACGAGATACTGACGTAACAATCCAAGTAAGAAAACTGCTAAATTTGCGCGAGATACTAACGTAACAATGCAAATATGAAGACTGCCAGATTTGCGCCAAAATATAAACGTAACAATCCAGATACGAAGACTGCTAAATTTGCGCGAGATACAGACGCAACAATCCAAATAAGAATACCGCCAAATTTGCGCGAGATACAAACGTAACAAGCCTAATAAGAAGACAGCTAAATTTACACGAGATACTAACGCAACAATCTAAATAAGAAGACAGCCAAATGTGCGCGATATAATAACGTAAAAGACAAATAAGAACACGGTTAAAATTGCGCGAGCTACTAACGTAACAATCCAAATAAGACAGCTAAATTTGCGCGAGATACTAACGGAATAACCAAATGACAAAACTGCTAAATTTGCGCGAGCTACTAACGTAACAATCCAAATAAGAATACTGCTAAATCTGCGCGAGATACTAACGTAAAATCTAAATAAGACGACTGCTAAATTTACGCGAGGTACTAACGTAAAATCTAAAAAGACTGCTAAATTTGCGTGAGACACTAACGTAACAATGCAAATAAGAAGACCGCTAAATTTGCGCGAGAAACTAACGTAACAATCCAAGAAAGAAGACTGCTACATTTGCGCGAGATACTAACGTAACAATGCAAATAAGAAGACTGCTAAATTTGCGCGAGATACTAAAGTAAAATCTAAATATGAAGACTGCTAAATTTGCGGGAGATACTAACGCAACAATCCAAATAAGAAGACTGCTAAATGTGCGCGATATAATAACGTAAAAGACAAATAAGAACACGGCTAAAATTGCGCGAGATACTAACGTAACAATCCAAATGAGAAGACAGCTAGATTTAAGCGAGATGCTAACGTAAAAACCAAGTAAGAAGACTGCTAAATTTGTGCGAGATACTGACGTAACAATCCAAGTAAGAAGACTGCTAAATATGCGCGAGATACTAACGTAACAATGCAAATATGAAAACTGCTAAATTGGCGCGAGATGTTGACGTAACAATCAAAGTAAGAAGACTACTAAATTTGCGCGAGATACTAACGTAACAATCCAAATATGAAGACCGCTAATTTTGCGCGAGATACGAACGTAAAATCTGAATAAGACAGCTAAATTTGCGCGAGATACTAACGTAGCAATCCAAATAAGAAGACGGCTAGATTTGCGCGAGGTACTGACGTAACAATCCAAATAAGACGGCTAGATTTGAGCGAGATACTAAGGTAAAAATTAAATAAGAAGACGGCTAAATCTGCGCTAGATAGTAACGTAGCAATCCAAATAAGAAGACGGCTAAATTTGCTCGAGATACTAACGTAACAATCCAAATAGGACAGCTAGATTTGCCCGAGGTACTAACGTAAAAATCAAATAAGAAGACAGCTAAATTTGCACGAGATACTGACGTAAAATCTAAATAAGAAGACTGCTAAATTTGCGCGAGATACTAACGTAGAATCTAAGTAACACTGCTAAATTTACGCGAGATACTAATGTAACAGTCCAAGGAAGAAGACTGCTAAATTTGCGCGAGATGCTAACGTAACAATGCAAATAAGACTGCTAAATTTGCGCGAGATACTCACGTAACAATCCAAGAAGACTGCTAAATTTGCACGAGATACTAAGTTAAACGTAACAATGCAAATATAAAGACTGCTAAATTGGCGGGAGATACTGACGTAACAATCCAAGTAAGAAGACTGCTAAATTCGCGCATATGATACATGATACTAACGTAACAATGCAACTATGAAGACTGCTAAATTTGCGCGAAATACTAACGTAACAATCCAAATAAGGAGACGGCTAAATTTGCGCGAGACTCTAACGTAACAATTCAAATACGAAGACTACTAAATTTGAGCAAGGTACTCACGCAACAATCCAAAGAAGAAAACAGCTAAATTTGCGCAAGATACTAACGTAAGAATTCAAATGCGAAGACAACTTAGTTTGCGTAAGATACTAACGTAACAACTTAAATAAGAAGACAGCAAAATTTACGTAACAATCCGAAGACCAAAACTGCTAAATTTGCGCAAGTTTCTAACGTAACAATCAAAATACAGCCAAATTTGAGCGAAATACTAACGTAACAATGCAAATATGAAGACTGCTAAATTTGAGCGAGATAGTAACGTAAAATGTTAATAAGACTGCTAAATTTGCGCTAGATACTGACGTAACAATCCAAGTAAGACTGCTAAATTTGCGCGATACTAACGTAACAATGCACATATGAAGACTTCTAAATTTGCGCGAAATACTAACGTTAATTCTAAATAAGAAGACTGCTAAATTTGCGCGAGATACTAACGTAGCAATCTAAATAAGTCACCTAGATTTGTGCGAGATAATAAGGTAAAAACCAAATAAGACGGCTAAATTTGCGCGACATACTAACATATCAATCAAAATAAGAAGATGGCTAAATTTGCGCGAGATACTAACGCAACAATCCAAATAAGACTGCTAGATTTGCGCGAAATACTAACTTAACAATGCAAATATGAAGACTGCTAAATTGGCGCAAGATGTTGACGTAACAATCGAAGTAAGAAGACTGCTAAATTTGCGCGAGATACTAACGTAGCAATCTAAATAAGTCACCTAGATTTGTGCGAGATAATAAGGTAAAAACCAAATAAGACGGCTAAATTTGCGCGACATACTAACATATCAATCAAAATAAGAAGATGGCTAAATTTGCGCGAGATACTAACGCAACAATCCAAATAAGACTGCTAGATTTGCGCGAAATACTAACTTAACAATGCAAATATGAAGACTGCTAAATTGGCGCAAGATGTTGACGTAACAATCGAAGTAAGAAGACTGCTAAATTTGCGCGAGATACTAACGTAACAATGCAAATATGAAGACTGCCAGATTTGCG